AGGCAGACTAGACGCCGTAGAAGCTCTCGCACGAGATGGCGATCGCCAAAGATTCTCAGAAATTAGGGTTAGCGGCCGAAACACGACCTCAGTGATACTTTTCACATCTAAAGGTAAAAAATCTCAAGTCGCTGACGCGCACCTCCCGCGCTAGCACCTCCTAGCGCTGACCTCCCGCTACTGAGATAACTTGACTGAGCGCCGGACTGAGAGAACATCCGACAACGTCTTCCTGAAGTAGACAGCACGCAGTAACAGTGAAGGGAAAATGCTTAAAAAAGGATACTTTAACTTATTTTCATAGTAATGTAAAAAATTTGAAGATAATTTATAGAATAAAAATATTTTGTAAAAATAGTAAAATCTGTAAAATATAGTATTAATATAGTACTAAATATGTACTGAAAAATTGATAGTGTTCAGACAGCGATGATTTGCCAAGATTACATTTTTGGGAACGGTAAGTAGAACGCCAAAAAATGTAATTACATAAAAATCTGGTCTCCAGTTATAGTATATTTCTTGTAAGTTAGTGACCATTTCAGTTTTGGGACTTCTTTTGGATATATTGTGTATTGCCCCAGGGAATTTTGAAACAAAATGTTGAGAGTGCGAAATACTCGTAAGATAAGTTGGGAGAGCAATTAGCAGCAGAAGCTGCAACGAAACATCGCCTCTTCTATCGATAGTTTTTCATCAGACAAGGGTGTTCTGGAAAAGAAACGACACACAATTGACAAAAAAATATTTACTTGGAGAAAGCATCAACGAGTATTGAAGAGATTGTCACGGTTACCCCTGTTCAGACATAATCAAACGTTTCTTTATGAATTTCGTCTTTTTACTTCACGTTACGACTGCATCCAATGCCGCTGGTGACGCGTCGTGGCGTTTGAAGTGGAAATCTCTTGGTTCCCCGAAATTTGACAATGCAATGTTTCACCCGCGACTGCCCAGGAGCTGTGCATGGGATCAAGGACTCACGAAACATGGATTCTGACTACATCACGTAGTCGAGGAAGTAAGGAAATGTTGACCACTTGTAACAGGGGTTCTATAAGTATTCAAAATGTCCTCCCTTTGCGCGAACGAAAGATAGGATCTTTGTCGCACGGCCTCTGCGACGCACTTTTGACGGTTGTTCATTTATTTCTGCCGACGCACTTTCAATGCGCCGCAGAAGACCACGACGATCCACGACTTCGGTAGCATATAAGCGGTATTTCATTAATCCCGAGATGAAATTCCAGAAGGTTCAAATTCGGAGACAGATGCGGGTATGCTTTTGAGACTCCTCGTTCGATCCACCTACCTGGAAATTACATACGAATCTAAGTATTCCCGAACTCCGCGACAATTATGTGGGGCTGCACCATCAGAGTTTTACCGTAGATTCTGAGACCACACATTGAATGGGACATTTTCCAAAAGCTTAGAGAGTATTAGAGATATAACATTTAGATGCTGAACGTCTCTCAAACACTTGCGTACCAATTTAGGACCGATGATAAAATCTACAATGCCAACCCAGAGAATCACTCTTGGTGGGCTCCAATACGTGCAACATGTTCATTTTCCTCGGCACACACATGCAAATTGTACACATTAATTTTTCTAGTCCTTTTAAGACGCCTAATCTGTCTGAGGAATGTGATTCAGAAATTCCTGGTTTTCCTTGCATTTGCGCAGGAAATGCCTAGATAATTCAAAACGATGTAGTTAGTGTACTGCACCTGCTAGAAATTTAAAAGAACCCATAACAATTCTGCACATGGATTTTTAGGCAGGTAACGGACTCTCATGCGTTGATCTGGCGCGGTGCGTTGATTTGCCTTGTGCTCGCTTCTGGGCTCGCTTCCGATGGTATTAATAACTTAGTTTTCCAGATAAATGTCGAGCCCTAAAGTAAGGTGAAGCCGCTGGCTCACTTGCCATAGGCCAAGTTACACTAGAACAAGCGCATAGTCCAGAGTTTAAAGTAAATGATCAAAACTAAACGACCAAGAGCACTCAATTTTAGCAAATTCAGGCTGTACATTACATACGAGATAAGGCCCTGGCGTATTAGCAACTAGGATTGAATCACACGTTGTCCCATTTAACTTGACAACTTATCAACTTAACTTGACAACTCAAAAAATACGCGCTGTAGGAAAAATTGAGCCCAGACTAAATCTTAACAGTTTTGAAGAGGGAATCATTCTATGCTAAAATCAGCACCCCTCCTGCCCCCAGCGGATGGGGCGGTGGGCAACATTGAAATCTTAAATAGGAACCCCCATTTTTATTTTAGATTAGTATTCAACGGACATTCTATGCTGATTTTAGCATAGAATGATTCCCCCTTCAAAACTGTTTAGATTGGGTCTAGGCTCAATTTTTCGTACATCGCGTATTTTTTGAGTTATTTCAACTTGTCAAGTTAAACGGGACACCTGTATATATCATTTTGATTGAAATCGCTCATTGATAAAAATTGCAAACATGCAATTTTTTCGCGTCTCTACAACCACAATTTTAAAGGTAATATTAACCCTTATCCGGGCAACTGGGGTCCATTGGACCCAGAAGCAAAATTTTTAATATTTTACGTGAAATCTCTTGATGTTAGGATATTTTTTGTGACTTTGTTTGCTATAGTGTTTTTCAAATGTTCCCCCACCCATTTTACGAAAGCGTAACTGAATAATAAATAAAAGAATCTTTATTTACTTTCAGCCGCAGCTAGGCAAGCGGGGTCCATTGGACTTAGGTCGCTTGATCTGCGTGTATTATTGGATTTTATTGTTTTATTTCGTCGAATACTTGACGACTGCTTCGTTCCCAACTGATGGACGGATGTCGAGTTGCGCAACATCTTTTCATTGGAAAATTATCTGATACTACGTGAAAGCGATTCTTAGATCGAATCCTTAGTAGACAATGTTTCTGCGGTCTAGTATGTAGCCGAGTCAGGAGAGTGAGTTTTGTAAAAAGTTGTAATTTTAGCCATTAGGCAAGAAATGGGAAACAAAGAGATGTAGCATCTGTTCAAAACCTCTCTGTAATGACGTGTGCGATCTATACTAAGAGAAAAACTGTTTAAAAAACAAAAGTAAAGTATTTTGAGGGGTTTTGTTATGTTACACAATTATATTAGAGAGTTCTGTTTCATTATTCACGTCTCAAAAGTACATGTGTAAGCATAATTCCGTCGCAGAAACTGCTGGATTCATTGGACCCGTCTGCCCGATTGCATCATTAAAATTGGTTGGCCGGAAAATGGTTCGTAAAATTCGTTTTCATTCTGTCTGAAAGACAGATCTTGAAATAAGATTATGTTAAATTTGCGTAATTGTGAGTAGCTTTCGTGTAAGTTTAGGCAAAATGTAGGCAATTTTTATTTTTTAAATATTTTTTCTAGAAAACCGCAGCACATTTTTCTTTACATTTTCTCTTCGCTCTCGTAGTAAGTAAGCTGCGGATTTACAGGAATAGGCAGAATTATGCAGGCAAAATAGGCATTTAAAAATGAAAAATAGACAATTAACAGGGCATCTATAAATTTGTCTTATCCTTATTTTTGTACTTATGTAGAAAGTTTCTGAAGTAAACATAATAAAGTCGCATTGTTTGGCAAGTCGAAAAAAAGGCCTGAATCACAGAAGCTGCCTTTCTGCTTTTCATTAAATGCCAGTTGATACTCTAATTTGGCAGAGTATGATCCTACATCACAAATGTTATTTAAACATAATTGAAAACATTATATGATTTGTTTTTATGGCCATGCATAACACTAATGTTGTAACTAGTTGTGTTAAAGTAACACATACTCTCACGCATTAAACATTTTTCAAAATTTGAATCCTACTCATTCGCAGGACGGACATAGCCAGTGGAGCTAGTCTTGATACACTCTTCCGTAGTATTGACGGATGAACAATAGTCGTTCGCGTCGTACACAGTTGTAGGCTGATGCCTTTGTTCGAAAGAGAATTGCATTTGGCATGTAATAGTTATGCTAGCATTTCTGATCAACAGTAGCGAAATTGTAGTACTTTGAGTATTGAACAGAAACCTATGTTGAAGTCTTATTCATTGTCTGAGTAGTGGACACTAAATAAAATAGAGAACAGTGCGTAGTAGTTTGACAGTTGTCATAATACTTGATTCCAAGTTAGTCTGTGACAGTTGTGTCCGAGAAGGTCTGTGACTGTACCTATGAACATTTCTTAATATGGACTAAAAATATTCGCAATTCTTGGTGAAATATGTAGAATGTTTTATGTAACATTTTACTCCAAATTATCTGATTTGTAGGCTTAGTTCAACACGTCAATGCTTGAGTTTTAACTGCAAGCATGTATAAACTCTGATACGATGTCTCTCCTTCGCTGTAGGCAGCCTGCTCGCGACCCCTCTGCACCTGAAGATGGTGGCCGAGATCTTCATGGACGGGGGCGCAGAGCCGCTGGACGGCGAGTGGGCTCTGGAGGTCTACGAGCTCTTCCGGAAGTTCGTGCGGCGCAAGGAGGAGGCGTCCCTGGACAAACACGGCTTCCAGGCCGCCAACATCGAATGCGCTCCGTTCTTCAAACCTGACTTCTTTTCCCAATTTCATCAGAATTGCGCTATGTTCTTGCTGGTAAGTGCTCCAAACCGATACTTACTCTGTTTTACCCATATACTAGCAGACCTCCCGAGACATTTATGACTAATTTGATTTGACTTCGTTTATCTTTCATTAGTAACATACATTTTCATTGTGGATGTGTAGATTTAATTCTTAACTCTAATAGCATTAAAGCTATATGGAATATATTTTGCGAAAAATGACTGCCTGAAGTATTAAATAGGCAATTCAGTGCCCCAAACAGTTAAATAAAAATAGGAAAAGTATATTTTTTTAAACTTCTTGCAATTCAATGAAAGTAATTTTGAATTTTCGCTACAAATATGAAACAAACAAATGTCGAAAAGTTTGACTGACTTCCCTCAGTGTAAATGTGATTTTATAGTTCAATTCTTAGTTAATGTACTTTTTACCTCTTCGCTACTACTTACGCAGTATAGAAAAAACATTGTAATGCTGCAGAAAAAACGACGAATTTTCAAAAACCGTGAGTGAATGCTAACGGCATCAACTTATGTCACTGCAGTTCCTGACCGGGTGGTTCTATATTCTACTCCCGACGCTAACAAGATTTTCGACATTTACTTGTCAGCTAGGACGAATTCAGTCACTGTCTGGAAATGAATTCTAGCGGCCATCTGCTTTGATTGGTACTTTTTCGTGGTTTCTCCGATCAGCTCCAGTCGAATACCGGGGCTATACCCTAACAATCGGGCCACGGACCGTGCACGACCGTCCTTTCCTCTTCCTTGTCCTATCCTCACCAATTACACACACTTACACTAACATGCACTACACTACATGGCATGTGCTGGATCACCCAGCTGGATCCATACAGCGGGGGAAGCCCACCGCATTCTGCAGAGCCAAAACATGACCTACACTTCCAGGACGAATTACAGCACTAATACCTCCGTACTTGACGCGCTTGGAATCACTAACAATCAATCAATCGGCAAAAAATATTTTTAGCTCTGGAAACGAAAAAAGTGACAAAAATCTTGTTCTTGTATGTAGATTACTTCTTCTAACAAAGGAAGGAGGCCCGATGTCGTCCAGGGTCTCGGTGGTGTAGGCAATGCTAGTAAAACTACCCCAGCAAGTACTGAGAAGCCCTCCTGTAATGGGGTCGCAACCGTATGGCCGTAATAAGCACCTGTAATGGGTTTGCTATTGCGGGGACGTCAAGCCCACTCTCTCACCTCCTCGCGGTGGCCCCCGGTAATGCATCTCGGGGCACCTTGAAGAGCAGCCGAGAGAGATGGGTGATATGCGAGTGTCCGGCGCCTTAAAGCGGGATCCTCTAGCTATGGGAAGGAAATCCATAACAGAAAAAACATCTCAGGGACCCCACGCCACGGGGGAACGGGGGGCTGGGATCTGCAACTCACACTCGAGCTGCCAAGGCGCAGCGTAGTGGTAGGACTGCTGTGCCTGGAACAGGGATAGTTTTCTCTTCAGAGGAAATTATGAAAATGGCTGCATTGGAGAAAGATCGAACGGAGACGTCTAACCATAATGCCACCCGATAATGAACGATAATGACGTCAACGTCGAACGATACTGAACGGAGGTCACCCGACAGGTGGTTGAGAAAAAAAGAGAAAAAGTGTCGACGATATTTAGGAGCCTTTGGAGCTGAAGCTACCGTTGCTGCAGAAACCATCATGCTCCCTATCTGATGGTCGGAGGTCCGATGATCAAGAAGACATTCTACTAGTGCAGCTGTTATCGCACCACCCCTTAAGATCATTAGCCCTGGAAAAACTCCAGAGAGCCAATACCCTGTGCTGATTTCTTCCTCTCCCCTGTATCGAAAGCCTAGCCTTCAGACAGGAAGAAAATCGGATTTCCCCTGCTCTGACACATATCCAAAGGGGGTTTACAGGTAGAAATAATTTTTACAGGTAGAAATAATCAAACAATCTTGTACCGATTCCTTTGAAAACTTTGCCCACAGGCACTGGCCCTGAGGAACATGCAATGGTAGATATTGCCTCCTCGGAAGTAAATAGGGTGTGATCCCCTATCGAGGAGGCCCTATAATTTCAGAGAAGAATCATGAGCTTTCGGCTCTGATCGTCCTCTTTGATGGTTGTATCTGCTACTAGCGGACCCGGCAGACTTCGTTTTGTCAACAAGATATGTAATGTGAAATTTTTTGTTCCTACATATTTTATAGTCTGGGGAAAAAAATTCTCCTGAACAGAACCGTCACCCTGGTGATAGGGCGTTGTGAATAAGAAATATAATTCGCGCATTCCAATGATTCCGACTTGAATGTGCCGTTGTGACTTAAACGACTACAGTTTCCAGTTCGGCTTACTTTTGCTATGAAAATAAACAAGTCCCAGGGAAATCATAAGTGTGGTATTAATCTAGAAAACCATGTTTATCTCAAATTGGTCAATTGTAAAAATGTTGCTGTTTCCGTGTTGGAAACCATCAGATCGTTTGTCCTATAAAACAAAAAACATCGTAATATCACAAAGAATACAATGAAAATAAAACTGATTTTTGGTTAATAATTATGATCCCAATATAGCAATAAAGCGATTACTTACATTTTAATGCTTATAT